GGGGTGGCTCGGGGGGCCGCGTCCGCGCTCGCGGCCTCGCCTCGCGTGGGCCACGTAGCCGCGGCGCCGCCCGGGGAGACCCGGGGCTCAGGGGCCGCCCGCGGGCCGGGGCATGGCCGCCGCGGCCGTGTCTGCGGTCTCCCCCGGGCCTGGGGGAGGGGGCGGCGGCGGCGCGCGATCGCGGCCATCCCCCGGCCGGCGCTGGCGAGGTGCTGTTATTCCCTCGGGCCGTTGGCTTGCTCGCCGCCGCCGCCGCCGCCTCCTCCTGCAGGCCGTGGACCGGGTTCGGATGTGAGTAGCCTGCTCCCGTCGACCCCTCGGGGCCCGGGAGGGTCCTGGTCGGTGTCAGAGCGAGAGCCCCACGGCCCCGTTCTCTGAACGCTGCGGATCCACCCCCAGCCTAAGAAGATTATTTTCATTCAAATTTAGGATGGCGTTTCGCTGGCACAATCCTGCAGAGCAAGACTAGGGAGGTCGCCCTGGCTTTCGGAAAGTACTAGAACGCTGGGTACCTGGAAAGGCTCTGAGGGCTTGCTAAGCAAGCGGCCACACGAATTTTTAATGTGTCTTTGAGACATAATAATAATAATAATCATCATCATCATCATCTGAGTATCTTGCTTGGGCGCCGAAGCTCGTGTGCCCAGCAGTACGGATGCTGGTTAAGTTGTTACTGAACCTCGCCTCACTAACTCACAGTATTTTTGAGAGCGGTCAGTTTTGAAATCTATTTTGGGGATTATCTGCCAGTTTACGTGTTGATCTGACGCCGGTTGTTTTCGCTGCCCGAAGACTGGCTAGAGCGGCAGGTGATGCTGGACTGGGTTAGCAGCACAGCCAGCCACCAGGTGTAGGAGGGAGACAGGTGTTTTAAGCTTTTGTTGGGCTGCCCTGCCCACTGTGCTCTACGGCTTTTCCTGGGCAGCCACCTACGGCGGCGGGCCAGACCCAACCGGAATATAAGAGAGCAAAGCTACGTGAGTGTGGGGCACTGTGGGTGGCTTCGGCCAGTTAAATGTGTTCTTGATTGTGCTTTATTGGACCCAGGGATCTTCGTGCTGATGCAGTAGACACAGCTGTAGCACGCTAGAAAGGAAACGGCTGGCTCTCCTGTGGTATTTGGCACGATTGGGACTCAACGGAGCAGCTCCGTAACTAAAGAGGCTCTAGAAACGGGAGCGTTTGAAAACCTTTGGACGCCAAGTGCAGCCAAGGAGCAGATAAGGGGGTGGCTGGGGCTTCGTTTCTTGAATTGCTGTATGCTTGTTCTCATCACTTGGCATTGTGAGTTTTGGTTTCCTGACTGGACTGTTCCCCGCACTGGGCACAGACTCCCTGCAGGCAAGGCTCCAGTCGCTGTTCGTTACCAAGCACAGAGGCTGGCTTTTAGAAGAGCTTTGGTGGGGGCTGGTTGGATGCATGCAGGAAGCAGCAAGCAGTTTGTCCTTGTAGGTCACTGGGAGCCGGTGGATCTTCCCTAGAGGAAACCATCTTTTTTTTTATATGGTATGCCGTGGATGGGTAGTCCTGTGGATACCACAGTCAGAGGCGGTCAGAGGTTAAGTAAGGCCAATGACCATCCTGTAGTGTTTAACTACTAATAAACCTCTTAAGTATGGGCCACTGTGTGGACAGCTCTTCTCTCCGTGTTGTCTGCATAATAAACGTCAGAGCTGGAACACTGAGCTGGAAATCCTCACTAGGAGGTACAGTGGGCTTCCCCCTTAGGTGCCTAGCAGCCTGTGGGCTAGGTGAGTCTCTTTTCACTTAAAGCCTTTTGTGCTGAGCCCGGTGCCTGTCGCTCTGTGTGTTTTGGGGTAGGGGCTGCTCTCTCGGTTGGGAGGCAGTGTTGTAGGAGTTTGGAACTTTGCTTTAGCTGTCTCTGATTCCTTCATTGCTAAGGAAGTCAACACTTTTCGCTTAGATGCAGGGTCTTCAGACCTATTACTTGCATTCATGGTGAAAGAGCTCACAGCTTTGTAGTCAAGGGCTATAGTTGGCTGAATTCTATATAAATTATGTCTCGTTAAACATAGGAAGAGCTTGAAGGCACAGCCTGGAATGATGATGCCTTGATAATAAAGCTGAGACAGTCTCATATAGATAGCCTAGGCCATGACCTTCTTATGCATTGTGTGCCACCACAGTTCTGGGACTTGAAGCCAGGGCTTTGTGCATAGCAGGCAAGTACTCTACCAGCTGAGCTGTATCCCAAGCCCCTTGTAATAAAGTATTTGAATAAACTTTCTTACTCACTTTGCTAGAAGTTAACCCCTTTTGGGATCTGCCTCTACTGTTGCCATAGGCGAGTGTGTGCACTTGTGTGCACAAAGAAGGGAGTGGGGTGTCCTCCTCCATTACCTTATACCATATTCTTTGGGGCAGGGTCTCTCCCTGAACCTGGAGGTCGTATATTTATTTGCTCTGGTAAACTAACAAGTCTGACTCCACTTGCCCCGAAGTGCTAGGGTAGCAGGTGTGTGCTGGAATCTGAACTCCAGTCTTCATGGTTGTCCAGTAAACATTTTTAGCTGCCGAGCCTTCTCTCCAGCCACAGCAGCATACTTTAATAACTAACTACTTTACATATTTAGGTCCTGTATGTTTCAAGATGGACATGAGGGAAAGTCACTTATTCTTGGGGACCACGTGAAGTCAGTAGGGATCCCTAACTGTTGGTGGCAACCTGTATGTGGTGGTATGACCAGAATACTGCCCTGTCCAGTCTAGTCTTGTATCCTCATCTTCACCCCCGTTGTTTATGGCAGGAAGCTTGGGTTGATGGTCTCCTGCTGTTTTCATAGCCTGGAGGGGGAGGCATGTGGAAGAAGAAAGCTTAAGGAGTTTGCCCCAGTTGTAATCCCAGCACTTTGGGATCCTGAGGCGAAGGAGCCTGCCAGTTCCAGGCTCAGCCAGCTTGGGATACAAAGTGAGACCTTATCTCAAGACAAAGACAAACAAACAACCAGGAATGAGTTAGAAGATGAACTGTAGCACATTGTAAGATACATACCATGTGATGTGTCTTGGGACACAGCACTTGTAATCTGATTCATTGACTACAGTTGAGCCTTCTTTTTTAAACAGCCTTTTCCGTTTACTTGTTTGTGTACCTGTACATGTGTACTTCTGGAGCCAGTGTTGTCC